TGGCAGGAATTTCAAATGACCGGACACTTAGAATGAAGCTCAATGAACTTAATCTGGACTCATTTTGGAATAAGTTTGGATTTTAACCCATCGATCTCAAATAAGGCTCTGCGTGTTCTTCTGCAGTTTTCAACATCATACTTGTGCGAATTAGGATTCTCAATTATGACGACTATCAAAAGTAAGAAAAGAGAAAAATTACTAACACTTGAAGAAGAACTGCGTGTATGTCTCTCCAAAACTAGGCCAAACTTTCCAGTTCTGCTCAGAAATCATCAAGCATAAATATCACATTAATTTGTATACATTTTACATAAACAATAAATTTTGAAAATATTGCGGCTTTTTTGTAAATAAATGCATGTACATTTTTTGTAAACCTTGTATTTTATTTAGTAAAACTTTCCTTATATACATAGGGATCTGCAGGAAAATTGGAGCCTCTCAGGGGATCCGGGCTTCCAAAAAGGTTGAAAACCACTGATCTAACCTAACGTAATAAGTTTCAATTTTAACACTTTAGTTATTTTTATAACAACAATTATAAAATATACATAAAAAAACAATAAATTTGGTACTTGCATTTGGCCTCTATTTGTTTGCTGACAGCCTGCTGATGCAACTTTAGTCTACTTTTTTTGTAATGATACCCGAAATAATTCTTATTTATTTCAAATATGCACTTAAGAACACAAAATAATAACATGCACAAAGAAAACACTGTCCTATAACTTATTACAGTTTAACTACTTTCTAACTAAGGAATAAGTGCCTTAAAATAATTCCTAATTAACTGTTTGACCCGAGTTTGGCAAAATAAACTATGAATTTGTAGGCTGAATAACTAAAAATCTCAAACAAAGTAAAATTTTATGTCATTCAGTAAACTATGTCTTTCTATTAGTTATAAATGATATAACAGCAAACACCAGAGAGAATTTCTGGCAATTTGTGAAAGAAAGGATGTGACAAGTGGGTTTGATTTTCTGGTTTATACAGGGTGTTTATAAAGTCTCTATCAGTGAAATAACAGGTTTTATTGATTGGTATTGCGAACCCCATGAAGATGAATGTGCAAGAACGTGTGATGGTGATAACATTGCGTATTCAAGGAAAGAAATGCAAAGACATTAGAGAGAAGTTTGAAAGAAAATTTCACAAGCCAGGTCCTACAGACAAGACAGTATGTGAATTGTCGAATAAATTCAAAAGAATGGGATCTGTTAATGATGAATCATGATCTGGATATCCACGTGTCTCAGAGCATGCTGTAAATGCAGTAAGAAAGGCTATCACGGAAGAATCATGCATGTCAACTCCTGCTACATCACCAATACTAAGGCTGCCTAATTCAACAGTCTACAAAATTTTGACTTCATATTTGCATGATAAAAATTATCACCTTCAGGTTTTACATGATTTGCATGAAGAGGACTATCCACTGTGAAGTGCAATATATGCCAATCTCGTTGAACGCATTCAGAATGAAAATTTAAAGGACCACATTCTCTTTATTGATGAAGCAACTTCCCATACGTGTGGAAAGGTTAATCGCCATAATTGGGCTAATGAAAGACTAATTAATTTGTCCTATTAATGGGAAAGAGATACTCCTAAGGTTAATGTCTGATTGGGTTTGACTAAATCTAAGATTTATGGACCCTTTTTCTTTGCTGAAGTTGCAGTTACAGGGGTTATTTATCTGGACATGTTGCAGCAGTTCCTAAAACCCAAGTTGGTTGGGGATGGGATATTGAAACCCGTCGTCTTTCAGCAAAATGGTGCATCTTGTCACTATGCAAACACTGGATTTCTTTGCATGGGGCTTTATCAAATCAGACGTCTATCAAACGAAGGTTAGGGATCTGCAGGACTTACATACACGCATTGTAATGGCTATTCACAAAATAACCCCCGAAATGCTTTGGAAAAATTTGAGCTCTGTAGAGATATTGATGGTGCACATGTAGAACCTTATTCTTAAGTATTCAATAAATGTACACCTTCTATCAATTTAACACAGTTACCTGTTATTTCTCTGAAATAGATAGACTTTATAAACACCCTGTATATCCATAAATAAAGACTGAAGGCTATGCCTTAGTAATATCTATACTATAATGAGTAATATTGTTAAATTCAAGGGCATTATAAATAAGCAAGGAAAAAACAGAAAATGGAGTGAACAAACATTATGTTACACAGACAAAGGGAGATTTTATTTAAATATTTACTTTTCAAAATAAGAAACTTATTAAAACTTTAATGATATTAAAATTTGATTTATTTGAATACACTGATAACAAAGTACTTTAAATAAATTTTCATTGTAACTCTGAAAAAACCATGACATGCTCTCATTTACCTACCCATATTGAGAGGATTATGATGTCACTTCCAAAGGATTATATCAGGACTTACTTATTGATAGAAGGGCCAAAACCTTTGGATATTTAGCTGATACTTTTGTGACAGTATGACAAGAAAGTTTTGCCCCACCTAAAAGCAGATTGATGCTCTCTTTGACCATTATGAAGTTTATTCTGTGTAAGAATGCAACTTGTTTGAGAATGGATGGTAAAGCTCATTGGTCAATTGGGTAAATTGTTTGTTGATAGCAGGGATGTAACATTACCATGGATATAGAAAAATCTGATTGACTTACTGTAAAAATAAGACAGATTTGGCTAATTTACTTGCAACACAGTTGATGAAAAGAAAGGAAGATCTTCAGGTGGGTTTTATGATGCGTCATTGAAAGAATGCAATTTGACAAGAATCATGGTCAACCATTAAGAAACGTATGTGAAATAAATTTTGCATGCAAAAGATGCAAAGTCACATAATTAGAAAAAACTGTTATAGAATGTTCTCATACAGACTTGTTGCACAATTGTTTTTCTGAACTACAATTGTATTATACGTGGTACAAACATGAACCACCCTAATTGACGTTAGTACTGGAGACTTATCAGGAATTTCTCTGCAGGATGTAAATGGTTTTTGCAACATTTCAATAGAGGAAACAATCACAAATTGTAATCTTTAATTTTAATACAATGTTTATGAATAAAACCCTTATATGCAAATATATGGTACTTCAATACAATTTATCATACCATTGCTTTTCACACAAGGGCCCCTAAAATTGATATTTTAGTTGTTTTGAAGCATTGATATACATAGAAATCACATTTATCTGCTTCAGAAATAGCAAATTGTGTTCATTTCTTATTTTTCTTTATGTTAACCCTTAAAATTGCATAGTTTCCCCATACAGAACCCTAAATATTCAAGTAAAGAAGTGGCATTTCTAGCATGGATGTTATATTGTACTAAAATGCCATCAGACATTTTTTACATTTTTCAAATTTCACCATCCAACTAACATCCGCATTACAAAACCTTAGTAAAAGAAAGGTACTTCAATATGCCAAAAATTAATAGAGTACATTACTTATAATTCATTTTTTATTTCATTAAGTACTTCTGATAACTCAAACGAGCAATACAATACTAAAAATGACAGTAATAATTAGTGGTAGTAAAGGCTAATGTAAAGTTGCACCATAATAAAGTTGCCACTACTTTAGCAAGTGCAAAGTAAGCCTATTTTGAAATTTCTAAAACACGGTTGTGTTTACTTGATATATCAGTCCAGAAGTTTTAAAATAGAGCACAAACAGACAAAATACCTAAATGTTTAATCCCTACTACACACAGATATATATATATATATATATAGTATTTATTCAATCTTTTTAACTTCTGTATAGTAATATATTAGAGTAACATTTTTTCCCAACTAATCTTGCATATTGGTGGACTTCATCATCATCTGCCGTAACTCGGATATGTCGATACAAAGAATATGGCATGACTTTGTATTTGTGAAGTACTAAAACTTCGTCATAGTTTACTTCACCAACAGTGTCTTCTAGGAAGGAAGAAAATAACAAATATGAATTATTCTAGTCCTTTAGTATAAAAAGAAAGAAGCAGTAGCAAAAACTAACACTTCATTATACACCACAAGAAATAAAATAAAAAAATCTAGAATTCCAAGGCAAGTTAGATAACTGGAAACAATGTCTGTCTTTTGAAACTCAAATAGTTTTTATTTTAGAAAAATAACATAGATAAGGATCAATGCTTCATAACTTTGAAATGTGTCAACAGATTTAAAAAACAAAATACAAACTGTATTAATTTACTGGACAGTTTAGATGTTTTTGAACTATCAATAAAGTAAGCTTACCCCTAGTCACTTGCAAGAGTTTATAATTAAGTACTGTTTAACATTAATGTAAAAACTATTGGATATTCTTCAATAAATACATGAATTTATAAAACATTGAAAACAGAATACATGTGTGAAAACAATGACAAAATGCACATCACATTAATGAACTTAACAGCTTGATAAAATTGAAACTATACAAATTAAATAACTGCCTCCTGAAAGGAATAAGAACAGCTCCCAAACATTTACAATTATAACTGTGGATAAAATTGACAAATTTGCTATACAACTTTTTAATTATAACAGCTTTTTGAAAAAAAAACAAAGAAACTGTTTAGGATTTGAAAATACAATAAGCAAAAATTATTACGTCCACCACATGGGAAACACTAGAGCACCTAAAAATCTGTTCCTCCTACTGTCTTTTGGATGTATCTAAAAACAGTTACATCATTATTTTATTAAAGGAGGAGTGAAGAAAATAACACTATTTTCTGGATAAAGAATAGCATGACATTTACTTCATTTTCTCCTAAAGGAAGTGAAAAATATCAATCAATCATCATTCACACAAGATGCAAGAAAAATAAAAGTTACAATTCCACATCTTGGAGAATCAAACAAAAGTACACCACTGTCACCTGTATTGAAAAAAAGAAAGAATATTGTCTTACATCAAAGTTTCTTGAAGATAGTAAAAGACTTTTATGTTATTAAATGGAACTATAAGCAACTTTACATGTCCTAAGGGAACAAAAGAAACTACTGAATCACTGTAGTTTCCTATAATGTATAATAAAAACAGTTACATTAGTTGTCCTGTAAAAACATATAAAGTTTTTCTTTTTTAAACAGAGCTACTAATCTATGCAGAAGTAACAGTGGTAGGAAGAACTGGTTGAGAGTAGGATTTGGCAAACAGAACAATAAGTTTAATCATTTTTCCACTACCAGTAATACTAATAATTAAACCCCATTAAAAAGAAAAACCTTGCTAAGATATTCTTTAGTAGTTTACAAATACAACTGTCTTCAATTATAAATTAAGATTATTTTATCACAATAAAGCCTGCATCAATATGCATCACAGAACAAAAAAAAAGTGGTGGTAAAAAAACAATGTAAATTGTATACAGGGTGTTTCATAGGTCCATACTCACAGGCAGAATTCATTATTAATCTTTACTTGAACAACTGTTCAAATAGCATACCATCAGCTTGCATACATATATCATACATACTTTCTTGTGAGCTGTATAGTCACCCATTATACACTGAGTGGTCACAAGTTAATAGACACCTAATTTTTCGTCATTTAACTAATTTATGTTCACAGAACACCACATACATGAATATGGTCCGCACACTAATTATCTTGTGCTACAACATGCCTAGAACTCGAGGTTCTCTCGAATTGTCAGATTTTGTTAGAGGAAGGATAGTTGGTCAAGTAGATGGCGGAATAAGTCAGCGGCAAATTTCGCAGAATTTGGGAATCCCGCTTTCGACAGTCAACAGAATCATCATGCAGTTCAGGAAACATGGCAAGGAAACAAATGAGCAGCATCCAGGTCGTCCTGGTCCATCGGAGATGACAAAAAAGGGCTGTCAAAAGGAGCATCGAAATGGAT